AGAATTCAATTGACGACATGTACGACGGCTGCAAGGAGTCAATGGCCGAAGCCGTCAAGAACGTTTACTTCCCCAGAGAGAACAACATTGACCCATTTAAAAATGCTTGGAAGATTGCAGGCCCCTTTGCAAAAGAAAAGTATGAAAAACGTCCGGACAAAGCATTAACCCTAGAACAAGTCCAAGCAGTCTATGTTTACTCACAAGAATTTCCCAATGTCTATGGACTGCTTAATGCAATGGTCAGAGAAGGTAAAGCTAAATACGCCTCTAGGGACTTCCCATACCACGCTTTACACTTTTAGATCACTTCTGTCATTAATACTAACAATAACAAGCCATGTCAAACCACCTACAGGAGAACCAAGAACAAATATACAGGTGAAGTCAACCAAGAAATGCACTTTGGTTATTTTGCATCCTCGAGTACAGATCCAGATCAGATCACTTTTGGAAGAGAGACCTGCTTTTACACTGAGACCTGTTTTGGTGCAAACATCAAAAGCTACTCAAGATTGGATGATGAGGACGAAGTGCTGATTCCCCTTTATGAGATGTTCAAAATAACAGAAATAGCTGAGGGCTCTTACAAAGAAATGAAAGATTGTAAAAAAGTCTTTGTCCTAAAGAGTACTGGAAAGCTGAGTAATCAACCAACTGAGTTGTTCCAGAAGCCCTGAGAGGCAAGAGAAGAAAAAAAAAGAGGCAGGTCATTTGGGCTCTATTTTGTGGGGTTTTTTTCACCAACTCAAAAAAAAATAAAAATAAAATTCTACAAAAAATAAATAAATAAATAAATAAATCTAAAAAAAATATATATTTTTTTTTCTCTAAAAAAAAAAATTCTCTACTTTTTTTTTTTTTTTTTTCTCTTGTGTGTGTGTGGGGTTTTTTTTTTCGCTGTTGATGTGGCTGATGGGAAAAAAAAAAGAACACCACACAGAGCCTGTGTTTTCCTGGTGTATTCCTATAAATACCACACTTCAGCTCTGGCAGGCTGCTGGAAATTTGGCTTATAGTGTTAGGTTCTGGGTTGAGACATGAGAGGCTGGGGTTTGAAACTCACCTGGTCCAGGTTGTATGTTTTCATTCTAGCTGAATACAGTCTTTTCATGAGTTTTATGTTTTGTGTTCTCTTTTATGAGTAATATGAGAAGTAAGATCAATGCATCACTGATCCGCTGTCATTCTCTCATAAAACATAAAACTCATGAAAAGACTGTATTCAGCTAGAATAAAAACACAACCCGTACCAGCTGAGCTTGACATAAACTGTTCTTCGTTACCTGCCATTGCCAGTCTCACATTTTCACTGCATTTGTCCAAAGATGTCTTCTTGTAGTGGGCATGTGGTTGAGGAAACAGACTAGAAGTCCATAGAGGGATATTGGCTTTCTAACAATCAACCACAGTCAGCCATGTGGGCTCAATTTGTCACTGGGTTAAGTTCAACGTTTTACATGTTGTCTTTGCTGGGATTTTACTAGTCACTTCTGTGGAAAGAAATAGTTCCAACGAGATATGCAACTAAAGATGAATCATGGCAGTGGTGGGATTTGAACCCACGCCTCCAGAGAGACTGGAGCCTAAATCCAGCGCCTTAGACCACTCGGCCACACTACCTCATGTTTGTTTTAAAGCAACTAAAAGCATGTAACAGCTTGTTGTTGCTGTGGCAGCGAGGTTAAGGCGACGAGCCCGAAATCCACTGTGATGATCCTGTGCAGGTTTGAATTCTGCCAACAATGTCTATTTGAGTGAAGCAAGGATTTGATGATTACACTTTGACCATCTTTTCTATCGGTTAAGCAGAAAAGTATCTGTTGTAATAATAGAAACAAAATGTGGGGGATGTAGCTCAGTGGTAGAGCGCATGCTTCGCATGTATGAGGTCCTGGGTTCAATCCCCAGCATCTCCACTGCACAGCATTTTTACGACACACTTTCCAGTGCATAGGCTCAAGTAGCAAAAGTTGCATTCCTTGGTAAATCTGTTCAGTGGACGTTTAGGGCGTGAAGGTCAGTGCTAGAGTGTATTCTGAGCAGGTATGAAGTTCAGTGTTCTATCTCCATGTTAGATTTTATAAATGGCAGCCTTTGTGTAGTGGTCTCAGTTTGTAAAAGTTACATTGCTTGGACTTAGTTTGCTCGTGTGGAAAGGAAGGGGATGTAGCTCAGTGTAGAATGCATGCATGTATGAGGTTCAATTCCCAGCATCAGCAGTTTGTCTTTAGAGAATCAGACAAATTGTACGTCTGTGTTTACGTGACATTTAACGTAAACGTTTCTTCCTTGTTTGTCATTGCCAGTCTCACATTTTCACTGTGTTTGTCCCAATATGTCATCTTGTAGTGGGCATGTGGTTAAGGTGACAGACTCGAAGTGCATAGAGCGATATTGTCTTTTAAAAAGCAACCACGGCTCAATTTGTCAATGGGTTAAGTTCAAATTTTTATATGTTGTCTTCACTGTGAGTTTACTAGTCTTGACTTCTGTGGAAAGGAATAGCACACACACACCACAAAGCCTACCTTGGCTCACCTTGGCAGCAGGGAGCCAACTGTCAGTGGTGGGATTTGAACCCCAAGCTTTAATCCAGCACCTTAGACCAGTTGACCACACTACTGTGTAACCAATAATTCAATGTAACATGACTGTGTGAGGTCACTTTATGTGGTCTCTGGGAGTTTACCTCCATACTGCCTATTTGCTTTGTTTGCTGACTTTCCTTCCATAGCTTTTGCTGCTAGGCATATGGCAGCACATGGTGGTCTCCAATTATCTGCTTGTGACAGTCGAAACAGAGATCACCACCACAGTTCATCTCAACGCCGTGTGCATTGTCACCGTACTTGATTATTAAAGTGACCAATAGGTCAAAAGTGCTAACCAGGCTTTCCCATATGGTCTAGCGGTCAGGATTCCTGGTTTTCACCCAGGCGGCCCGGGTTCAACTCCTGGTATGGGAATACTTCTCTTTCAGGATCAACTGTAGTGGCTTACATGCACTCAATCATTCTCTGTCTTGTTACTGCTAACTATATGTTATTTTGATGGGATTTTGTTTGTATGGAGTCACCATATCATTTCACTGACTACTCTCACTATCACATTTAGTGACTTGCGATGATGTTGCGATGGTGTTTATAGTGGTTAGCATAGTTGACTTCCAAGCAGTTGATCCAGATTCAGTTCTCAGCCATCACAGTCTTTGACTGTGTGCAGTGGTGCTTTCCACATGTTGAGAGTACTCAGGTGTGTGACAATCATTCCTTCCAAAATGTAACTCTCCACGGCTAGTGCACATTTACAGCTCTTAAGGTAACGTAATAGGACAGTTGAGTGTCAAAGGCTAGCACACTTTTCTTTGTTTTGCTGCACAAACCTCACAAAGTATCAAGAAAACAAAGACCCTGACATGATTTGAACACACAACCTTCTGATCTGGAGTCAGACACACGTCACAGAGTCTGAGGCAAGTTGTTGTAGTAGCATTCCATTCCACTGTAAGATCCATATGTGAAGACACAGAAATCTCTAATGTGACTGTGTTGTCATGATGCCACAGGGTTATCAAATCCCTTCAGTGTTGAGTGCATTGCCTCGATACCGACCCACACTGTCATTAATCTATTGTTTCTGTTTCCTTTGACAGTGTCCCTTTTCTTAACTCTAAGTGTGAGAGTTGTTGAGGCCGAGTGGTTTAAGGCGATGGACTCAAAATCCATTGAAATTTCCCCGCTCAGGTTTGACTCCTGTCAACAATCAGGGATGTTTGATTGTACATAAAGACAGTGTCTTAGTTCTAACGCAGATCGACATTCAGATTGAAGGTCAATGTTTGAGAGAGTCTCTCAGAGGAGTTTATCCAGTGGGGCTGTTGGAAAGCCTACAACAGGGAGGAAGGTCACAAAGTTTACCTATGCTCAGCTTGGCGTCAGAGAGCCAATTAGTAGTGGTGGGATTTGAACCCAGTCTCCAATGAAACCAGGCACTTAATCCAGCACCCTAGACCACTCAGTCACACTACTGTGTAACCAAGAGCGCCATGTGACATCACTGTGTGAGGACTTGAAATCCATTGAGATGTTCCCACACAGGTTTGAATCCTGCCAGCAGCGTGTGTTTGAGAGAAGCAAGAATTTGTTGATTACACTCTGGAAAGAGCCAAAAAGACTGGCCAATCATTTAACCAGAAAAGTATTTGTTGTAATAATTTCATTGTAGATCATAGAGGTTGTAGCTCAGTGGTCGGGTACGTGCTTCACATGTACGAGGTCCTGGCTCCAATCCCCAGCATCTCCACTCAGCAGAGCTTTTATGGCACACTTTCCAGTGCAGAATCTCAAGTAGCAAAAGTTGCATTCATTGGTAAGTTCGTTCAGTGCAGGTTTAGGGTATGAAGATCAGGGCAGGAGCATATGATTAGCAGGTATGAAGTTCAGTGTTCTATCTCCAGCTAACTTTTTATCAGCAGCACCCTTTGAATAGTGGTCTCCATTTGCTAAAGTTACATTGCTTGGACCTAGTGTACACATGTGTGTGGAAAGGCAGGGGATGTAGCTCAGTGGTAGAGCGCATGCTTTGCATGTATGAGGTCCTGGGTTCAATCCCCAGCATCTCCAACAGTTCTTTGAGTCTCCATAACTATGTACTCACCTGCTGTGACTCTTAACTGTGGAACATGTATTACTTTGCCACAAATGTTGAAACTTGATTTTCATAAGAAAAAGAGAAAGCTTTGAGCCACTTTGCCTTGTCCTGCTTGAGTGTGTAGTGACCATAGAGTGTAGAAAGAATGTGTCCACACATGTCTGTATACAGTGTGTGGTAGTGACAGTGGAACAGGAGCCATCTCCACTTCAACTTTTGATAAGTTGATAAGTTACTCAGTTGATTTCTTTGTTTTTCTAGCTGTTTTGGTGTTTTTGGTTTGTTCAAAGTTGAAACAGAAAATCAAAATTAATGTGAAAAAAAAGTCTCAGTCATTTCAGCAGATCTCAAACCACAAATAAAAGTACTTTTTACTTTTCAGTCCTTTTCTAAAAAGTACAGATACACGTTCTCAAATGTAACAAAGTAAAAGTAAAAAGTATCTACTGTAAAATTCATTTTCATTCATTCATTCTGAACCTAATCTGTGGTGAGAACAAATATGAAACATTTATGTGTCCATTTTATATTGTGACTGAGCTCATATTTACATACACTTCTCCCAATGGACTGGAATGGAGGAAGTTTAAATGACACACTGTTTTCTTTGGATAAAATGCAGCATTTGTGTTTGTGTCTCTGGGCTCTGTCAGCGTTCTGCTCACGACACAAACATCTTCAGAGTCACCACCCCCACCTGTGGAGAAACAGATCAGAAATGATTCAATTCAACCTGTATTCAACTGTTCACACCTGTTTTGTTTTCACACACACCCCATCAAAAACTAAACTACAAACTAAACCTGTGGCACTAAAACCTGGACTAAACCTGGACTAAACCTGGACTAAACCTGGACTAAACCTGGACTAAACCTGGACTAAACCTGGACTAAACCTGGACTAAACTAGGACTAAACCAGGACTAAACCAGGACTAATTTTCCACTATTTTCTGATCTCTGTCCTAATATAGTTTCCTTGTCACAAACAGACCTGAAGTTGTGTTTGTATCATTCACATATTTAACACATAAACCCTGTATATTTAGACTGAGTTCTTCTCTCAAACAGAAAACACTCTGTTCCACCTTGTAATGTCATGTTGTAATACAGGAAGTGCTCCACTGTGTTTTTAAACTCCGTACCGTTTTACTAGAAACATTTTCAGCCCTGGAATTTCCAGTCTCTTCTAAACTACAGGGAAATGGAAGCTGTTCACTTGAAAAGTACCACTACATGACATCAGAGCATGTTGAGCTCTTATTCACAAACACACATGAACAGTGAATTCTCCTTGTTTTTTGTTGTCATTTTTTTCCCCAAGACTACACGTCTGTTCTCAGGTGGTAAAGGACTTTGGCCCAAACTCTGTCACACACAATATAAAAACTCAAACACAACAGCAAAAAAACTATTTGTGAGCAGCTCAAATCGAACAACAACAAAGGATTTGAGTCGTGAGTCAAACAGGGAGAAGAGTCTCAGCAGTGAGTCCAGATTGTGTGAATATAGAGACCACATACACATATACACACTGACACGTGCACATGTCTTTGAAAAGAGTACAGTACATATGACAGTACAAAAGTACTGTTGATGGATTTACTCTTCCAACACAGTTACATGTACTTCACTATAAAGAATTTGGATGAGATAGTGAAAAATCTCCTGCAAAGTTTCCTGCTCTGTCACATGAATGAAAGAGCACAGAAAACACATGAGCACACTCAGTTTGGATGGAAAAGTGGCTTTTGAGGGACCTAAATTGTGTTTAGGAAAACAAAAATTCTACTTTTTCAGTCAGTTTTCAATAGAGAAATGTGTCAAAATGATTTAAAAAATGGTATCTGTGTTTGATTGTTCAGAACACAGACATCACCTGTAGCAAACTGGCTTTTGGATTAGGACTGATCAGTTTTGAATGTTAAAGTACATTGAGCTAGGATAATCTTTAGTTTAGGAAACTCTAACTCTGTTTGGAGTTCTGTGTGAGCTGTTTAGTACATGTCAATGTTCAATAGAGAAATGTGTCAAAGTGAAAAATAAATAAATAAATGTATGGAGCCACTCCATGAGTCAATTTGAGAACAGAAAGAAATGTGTGCGACTGCTCCAGGCTCAAAACAGCCCTATAAAGTCACTACTCACTCGAGTGTCTCCAGTCGACAGTGAGGACTCTGTTTAAGCTCCAGGAGCTCCTCCACATCTGATGAACTCACTCTGTTACCAAACAGCACCAGGTGTGTGAGATGTGAGGGGTTGGACTTCAGAGCTGAGGCCAAAGAGGAACAGCTCGTCTTTGATAAACCACATCTGTACAATCTGAATAAAGAAAACATAATGTGTTAAAGTCCATACAAATATAGATTGTGTTTCTAGAGACTCTGTGAATGATCAAATAAATCCATGATAATATACAGTGAGGCTAAAAAGTATTTAGTCAGTCACCAATTGTACAAGTTCTCCCACCTAAAAAGATGAGTGAGGCCTGTAATTTTCATCATAGGTTCACTTCAACTATGAGAGACAGAATGGGGGGAAAGAATCCAGGAAATCACATTGTAAGATTTACAATGAATTGGTAAATTCCTCAGTAAAATAAGTATTTGGTCACCTACAAACAAGCAAGATTTGTGGCTCTCACAGACCTGTAACTTCTTTAACATACTCCTCTGTCCTGCACTTGTTCCCTGTATTAATGGCTTCTGTTTGAACTGGTTCTCAGTATAAAAGACACCTGTCCACAACCTCAAACACTCCAAACTCCACTGTGGCCAAAGACAACTGAAACTAAATTGTTGACCTGCACCAGGCTGGGAAGACTGAATCTGCAATAGGTAAGCAGCTTGGTGTGAAGAAATCAACTGTGGGAGCAATTATTAGAAAATGGAAGACATACAAGAGCACTGATAATCTCCCTCGATCTGGGGCTTCACTCCACGCAAGATCTCACGCCATGGGTTCAAAATAATCACAAGAACAGTGAGCAAAAATCCCAGAAGCACACGGCGGACCTAGTGAACGACCTGCAGACAGCGGGGACCAAAGTAACAAAGGCACCATCAGTAACACATTGCACCAGCAGGGACTCAAAACCTGCGGTGCCAGACGTGTCCCCCTGTTTAATCTAGGACATGTCCTAGTCCATCTTAAGTTGCTTGAGAACATCTGGATGATCCAGAAGAGGACTGGGAGAATGTCCTATGGTCAGATAAAACCAAAAGAGAACTTTTTGGTAAAAACTCAACTTGTTTGGAGGAGAAAGAATGCTGAGTTGCATCCAAAGAACACCATATCTACTGTGAAGCATGGGGGTGGAAACATCTTACTTTGGGTTGTATTTTTCTGCAAAGGGACAAGACATTACTGCTCTAGAGGAGATCTGGGCCCGGTCAAGCAGAAGTAAACAGCAAGGCCAAAAATTCAAGTTAATGCATCTGATATAAAAATGTATTGAACAGATACATATGTACTCTAGTTTATGAAACTGTTGACCTTTTTTCTGTACCATTTTTGGTTCTAAAGTTCCATACGTTTTAAACAGACCATGAATGAAACATGGAACAAAAATTATTTGCCAAATTTCAAAGACCTGCAAATCATGTCAATAAATGGATGTATTTCATCATATCTTGTGTTATTCCATCTTTGAACTGTTGATGAAGGTGCATGATTTTTTTTTTTTTAATGAATGTAAAATGATAAAAATCTGCTTGGAAGGACTGACATATTTTATAGAAATAGTTTCCTTTCATTTTGAAGTAATATTAAAGTATTCAGAAGAAAAAAGCGACAAATGATGCAAAATCATGCACCTTCTACTTGTTTGTACAATTTTCCCTCCGTTACTTTTCCCTCCGTTACCATGACCTTTCTTAATAAAAAATATCATGACTCAAAAAGTAAGAGGTTTTTCAACCTAATCTTGTACCATATGGTAGAAAACTATATGCAAATATTCAAACCAGTTTGTTAAGGATATGGAAGTGAGAACCAAGAGTTATCACTGTTTGGATTTATTGCCCAAAAAGTGCTGCATATTTCATTCCCTCCATTACCGACATGAGTTTTTAAATTTTTTGTCAACAACTTGAAAGAATATCACAGGTTTAACTTGACCCTGTTGGAGTGTAACTCTTTCCTACATTCTGATACTTTACTTATTTCAATAGTCCCTCTAGTTTCTGAATAAGAGACATTTGAATGTCAAAAATCTGCCCCTGTTTCCCTCCGTTACCACTTGACTGAACCCATCTGCAGGAGGAATGGCAGGAACCAGCAACAATGTGTGAAAACCTTGTGAAGACTTACAGGAGATGTTTGACCACTGTCATTGCCAACAAAGGGTATATATTTTTACTGACCAAATACTTGTTTTCCACAATAATTTGCAAATAAATTATTTAAAAATCAGACAATGCGATTTTCTGGATTTTCAGATCTTTGTCAGATCTGTGGATAGGCGCGTACACTCAGAATACAACCCCAATTCCAGTGAAGATGGGACGCTGTGTAAAACTCAAAAAAACAGAATACAATGATGTGCAAATCCTTTTCAACCTATACTGAACTGAATAAACTACAAAGACATGATATTTAATGTTCAAGCTGATAAACTTTATTGTTTTTATGCAA